CCACTCCCTTTAGCACTGATGAGGTTACCTAGTTGGGTCATGAAACATCTGCAGGAAAACAAAAAAGCTCAGACAGCAACAAGGACCCCACAGTTCAACCCTGAGCTACTGCTACCTAGTTGGGTCATGAAACTTGTGCAAGAAAACCACCAAGCTCAGAGAGCACCAAGGACCCCACAGTTCTCCTCCTTCTCCCCCTCCTGCTCCTGCTCCTCCTTCTTGGAAACCCCTCTTCCTTCTAACACTGATGATGTTCCCTAGTTGGGTCATGAAACTTGTGCAAGAAAACCACCCAGCTCAGAGAGCACCAAGAACCTCCTCACATTTTAACCCTGAACTACAAACATTTATATTTATATTTATATATATACATATATAAAGGGGCATGCATAAGCGCACAATTGTGCCTACCGTCCCTGTCCTATTGTCCCTATTTATTAGTTGCCATTTCTTGTATTTAAATTTATGTTTATTCTTGTTTCTGTTGTATTTGAAGCTTTTGACAAATAAAATAAAATAAAATTATGTATGTATGTATGTATGTATGTATGTATGTATGTATGTATGTGAATCTTTGGTTATTCAGGTTTTCTCCCGTGTACAATTGGAAGTATTTTGGCAACATTTTGACAAAATACTTCCAATTTTACATGGGAGAAAACCCAAATTACCAAAGATCTACATACAAATACCCGCGAAAACCTCAGAAAACAAATATGTATGTATGTATGTATGTATGTATGTATGTATGGTATTCAGCTTTGTTCGGGTATTTTCCCATGTCCTTATAGTTGTGCTTTTAAAGTTGTAGCAATGTTTTGGCAGAATCTCATCTGCCATCATCAGGAGATTCTGCCAAAAGGTTGCTACAACTTTAAAAGCACAACTATAACAATGTGGGAAAATACCCGAACAAAGCTGAATACCATACATGTAAGTACCCGCAAAAACTTAAGAATATACATACATACATACATACATACACACACACACACACACACACACACACACACACACACACACACACACGGATCAGACACACAAACGTTACTTATTATCCAAGCACCGACATCGGTTTATTATTATTTTTACTTTTTTCCCCAAGCCGGCACTTAGTGCTCCTTCGAGACCTGTTGCATAATCTACAAAATAAGATATATATATATAATATATATATATATTGTTTGGCACCGAAAAAAAACGATCTCTTTTTGTTGCAAGGCTTGGCTTCTTTGGCATGCCCTTCCTTTTTGGGGGGTGGGGTCGGATGGTGGTGGAAGCGTTCCAGGGGTTCCCCGGGGATCTCCCTCTTTTGATCCCCATTTTACCCCACAAATACGGGGAAGGGGAATCCAAAACCGAGCCAGTTTGGCAAAGGCAAAGGCAAAGCTCCTTCTCCGAGACCCCCAAAGCTTTTTTGGGGGGGGCGGACGACCCCCCCACCTTACAAAAGCCGAGGCGCCCTTCGTGCGCGCAACGAGCCACAGGCACTGGCGTTGGTTGGAGACCAGCGCTGCGCTTTTACGCATGGGCATCCCCCGGCTCTGGCTTTCCCTCCACCCAGGAACCCTCTTTTCTCCCGGGAAGGGTGTGGGGTGCAAGGCCCGGCGGGTCTCACCTGCGGGGGGCTCCTCCGCCCCTTCTCCCGCGCCCAGCAGCGCCCAGAACAGGATCCAGCCAAGCAGAAGCATGCTGCTGCTGCTCCAAAAGACCCCCCGAGCCCCGGTTCTCCCGCGGGGGAACTGAGGCACGGAGGGCCAGCCGCAGCCCTCCCCGCGCGCGCGTGGAGATCCCGGGACCGCTGCTCCCGCTTGACGCCGTGCAAATCTTGGCCAGGCGCGCCCGGGGGACGCCACGCGCGTGGCCGAGGCTGCTGCTTGCTGCTGCTTTTCCGGGCTTTGCGCACTAGAGGGACGGACGGACGGAGGCGCAGCCAGTCAATCAGAATAGAGCCGGAAAGGGACTTTGGAGGTCTTCTAGTCCAGCCGGTCCCTTCCTCTCGGCTAGTCCTGCGCTCTGCCCGGCTGCTTTCAGCAGCTCCCCGAGGGAGATTACGAAGAGAAAAGAAGGAAGGGGTTTTTTTGTGAGGGGGGGGGGGGGGGGCTGCAGGTTGCCGCGGGAGGATGGAGAGTCTCTTCCCTCCGTGGAGTCCCGGTGGGCTGGATATCTGCGAGCGTCGCCTGCGCGGCGGGGAAGAAGGAGGAGAAGAAAGAGATTGAACTGGAGGAGGAGAAAGACAAAGAGGAGAAAAGGAGGAGGAGATGAAGGGGAGGGAAAAAAGAGAAATTAAACAGTAGAAGGAGAAAGAGAAGGAGAAGAGAAAGAGGTAAAAAAGAGAAATCAAATAGAGAAGGAGAAAGGGAAGGAGTAGGTAAGCTGGAGAAAGAAAAGAAGTTAAACAGGAGAAAGAAAGAAGAGAAGGAGAAGATGAAGAGGGAAAAAGGAAAAGATAAACAGGAGAAAGAGGAGTAGGTAAACTGGAGAAAGAAAAGAAGTTAAACAGGACAAGGAGAAAAATAAATTGGAGAAGGAGAAGAGAAACAGGAAAAAGGGAGAAGAGAAACAGGAGAAAGAAAATAGATAAATAAATAGAGAAAGAAAAAAAGACGTTAAACAGGAGAAGGAGAAACAGGAAGAAAAGATAAAGAGCAGAAGAAGAGAAACAGGAAAAAAAGAAAGGATCCCAGCTAAAGGACAGGATTCTGCGCTTTTCACACCCGGAAATTCAGCCTCCATTTAAAAAAAAAACAGAACAAAAACTTGATCTGATGTTTTGAGTTGGTCCGAAGACTTGTGAAATGGTCTCTAAAAATATCATTTATTTCCACTTGCAACTGTAAGCTGTGAAGCTCCTTGGTTTTTAAAGGTTTGAACAGATCAAATTGGGGCTGGATTAGGCTGAAGTTTGTCTCTTGCAACTTTAAGATTGTGTGCACTTCACTTCCCAGAATTCCCAGATCCTCAAGAAGCAACATTCATTTAGATAATCCGCAAGATATCTGTGCTAAATGATGGCTTGTGGTTACAACACCTTTTCCAGGCCAGTCTGTTGACTCAACCAGAAATATTTTCCACTGAGCTAAATAAGATTTACCTCGCAGGCTGAGTCAATACACTTTCCTGAAATAAATCACACACCACCAGAGGGTGATTACTAGCAAATAATTATGCAAAGCTTGCCATTAAAAATTGTTTTCCCCAAGAATCTTTGCAGAACCTTCCAGTTTTGTATATCCAAAATTCTGCAGGCAAAACAGTTTTTCCTATTAGGATTAAACATCAGATTATCTATGCTCAAAAGTTGTCAGTGTTATGCAGGTTACCACAGTTAGAAATAAATTAAGCTTAATAAATTCTCTTTAAATAAAATTAAAAAAATACCTTGCTACTGCCCAGAGAATCGGATGATTGGGGGCAGCTTTTATAAATCTAAATCATAAATAATTTAAAGGGCAGGAAAGAGACTGAGTTTCAATAAGCTCGTTTCTTAACTTGCAATTATAAATAAAAACAAAATGAAGAATTTCATCCGTATTTGCTCAAAAAGTGAATCCCAGGAACGCACACTGGGATTTTTCATAGAAATAAATTTGCATAAAGATGACTTTATATACAGTATACTGTACTGAAGTTAATTCTTATTAAAGAATAGCAATACCTTCTCCCGGCCGCTGGTGGAGCACCACCTTTTACCATAGAGATGAGGCAAGAGCGGCATCGATGACGGTTAGGTTTAACCCGGAAACGAGCCGCCCAGAGAAGGAAAAGATGAAGCGTTGCCTAGCAACTTCCCTTCTCCCATTTCCGCATCCAATATAAAGCCGTTCCCATTGGCTGGTCGCTTTTGCTCGGAGCTTTCGGGGCATTGGGAAAAAATGGCTGACCGCCTAACGCAGCTGCAGGACGCCGTGAACTCGGTGAGTGGGAGGCCCGGGGCGGGGGGCTAAGGCGAGCGCCCCGGTTTTCTTCGGCCTGGGCCTTTGGAAATGTGGATTACAGCTCCCAGAATCCTTTAGCTTTGGCTTTTGGTGGCCTGGGGGATTCTGGGAAATGGTCTCCTTCAGTCCTTTATTCTTTGGTATAGGTAAGGTAAGGAGCAGGAGAGGCCCGTTTATTTAACCTCGGCATCTGCCCCCCCCCCCCGCCCAGCTTCTGAATTCGGAGATTATTCCACCATTACAGAGTAACTGAGGAGGAAGGAACCTTGGAGGTCTTCTAGTCCAATCCCCCCTGCTCAGGCAGGAAACACTACGTCATTTCAGACAGGTAGTTGTCCAGTCTCTTCTTGAAAAACCTCCAGTGATGGAGAAGGAAGGGAAGGAAGGAGGGAAAAAAGGGAAAGGAAGGAAGGAAAGAGATGGATGAGGAAGGTAGGAAGGAAAAAGGATGAAGAAAGGAGGAGAAGGGAAAAAAGGGAAAGGAAGGAAGGAAAAAAGATGGATGAAGGAAGGGAGGAAAAAGGATGAAGGAGGGAAGGAAAAAGATGGATGAAGGAAGGATGGAAGGAAAAAGGATGAAGGAAGAAGGAAAAAGGAAGGAAGGAAAGATGATAGAAGAAGGAAGGAAGGAGAAGGAAAAAAGGGAAGGAAGGAAGAAAGAAAAACAGCATAACAGAATAAGAGTTGGAAGGGACCTTGGAGGTCTTCTAGTCCAACCCCCTGCTCAGAATATGGAATAACAGAACTGGAAGGGACCTTTGAGGTCATCTAGCCAACACTACCCCCCCATCAAACAGAAGACCCTATATCATTCCAGACCCTATACCGTGTCCAGTCTCTTCTTGAAAGTTTCCAGGGATGAAGCTTCCACAACTTTCTGTTCCATTGGTTGATTGTTCTCCCTGTCAGAAAATTTCTCCTTATTTCCAGGTTGAATCTCTCTTTGTTCAGTTTCCATCCATCATTCCTTGTCTGGCCTTCAGGTGCCTTGAGAATAGCTTGACCCCTTCCTCCCTGTCACAGCCCCTCAAATATTGGAAGACCGCTATCATGTCTCCCCTGGTCCTTCTCTTCCCTCGACTAGCCAGGCCCAGTTTCTGCAACCGTTCTTCATATGTTTTAGCCTCTAATCATCCTGGTTGCTCCTCTCTGCACTCTTTCTAGAGTCTCAACATCTTTTTTTTAGTTGGTAACTGAGGCTTTGCTGACAATCTAAATCTATTTCTGATCCTCTGGTTTTGAAAGCTAAGCATGTTTAATGTTTGGGGAGTCCTTGGTTCTCTCTAGCCTTGGTTGTTTTCTTGGAAACATTTCAGGACCCAAACTTAGTAACATCAGTGGGAGAAGGAGGAGGACTGTGGGGTCCTTGGTCTTCTCTGAGCTTGTGGTTTTCTTGCACACATTTCATGACCCCACTAGGTAACCTCAGCAGTGCTAGAAGGAAAGAGATTTGTGGGGAGGATTCTCCCTCCTAGCACTGATGAGGTTACCTAGTGGGGTCATGAAACATCTTCAAGAAAAGTACAAGTCCAGAGAGCACCCAGGACCTTTCAGTTCTCCTCCTCTTCTTCCTCCTCCCTTTCTGCAAACCCTCCTCCCTTCTAATACTGATGATGTTATCTAGTTTGGTAATGAAACATTTGCAAGAAAACCACCAAACTCAGAGAGCACCAAGGACCCCCTCCTTTGAACCCTGAGCTACAAATATTCTCCTTTATTTGACATGTCAACATTTTGTTTATAGCTTGCTGATCAGTTCTGCAATGCCATTGGGGTGTTGCAGCAATGTGCCCCCCCTGCATCCTTCAGCAACATACAGACTGCAATCAACAAAGACCAACCAGCTAATCCCACCGAAGGCAAGTCAAGCAAGCGTATTTTTCTCTTCTGTTATGCCCAAGGATTATCTGTCAGTGGGGTGGTGGCCTCACCTGAACCCAAAAGGGGATGGAGATGCCACGAACAAGGTTCCCTTTGTAGGTTTTCATAATGATTAGTTGCTGCTTGAAAAAGAGACATTTCACACACACCCCTTCCTTTTCTTCCTTTCCTGTCCAATTACTTCCCCTTCGTTTTTTATTCTTTTTTCCCTTCCTCTTAGCTTATTGCCTCTTCTTTCCTCTTTGTAGTTTTTGCTGGAATGTGATAGAACAATGTGCAGGTAATCCCCTGTTCAGAGTATTGCAGTGTAAATTCAGCGCCAGAAAAGTAAACACAGATGGCTGAGGCTTCATTTAACTTCCTTTAAGCAGCCCAAGGAGCTGCTGATACACTTCTACAGAGGAATGATTGAGTCTGTCATCTGCATCTCTATAACTGCCTGGTTTGGTTCTGCAACCCAACAGGACAGACACAGACTTCAGAGGAGAATTAGGACTGCAGAAAAAACAATTACTACCAACCTGCCTTCCATGGAGGACCTGTATCTTGCACCCTGAGTCAAAAGAGGGCTGTGAAAATTCATACAGACCCCTCATCCCTGACATAAACTGTTTCAACTCCTTCCCTCAAAATGACACTAAGAGCATTGCACACCAGAACAACTAGACACAAGGACAGTTTTTTCCCTGAAAGCCATCACTCTGCTAACTAATTCCCTCAACCTTGTTCAACTATTACAAAGTCTGCACTACTATTACTATTAATCTTCTCATCACTCCTTATCACCCATCCTCTCCCACTTGTGACTGTAAGACTATAACCTTGTCTCTTGTATCCTTACGATTTATATTGACAATTCCTAGTATGATTTGATTGCTTATTGTACCCTATGGCTATCATTAAGTGTTGCATCTGATGATTTTTGACTCTTGACGAATGTATCTTTTCGTTTATGTGCATTTCCACCTAGGCAAATTCCTTGTGTGTCCAATCACACTTGGCCAATAAAGAATTCTATTCTGTTCTTTATAAACACATATAGTAAATTTTACAATACCAGTTGTAGACTTTCTCCAATATGGAGCAAACTCAAACAGAAGTAGACATGTTACAGGTTCAGAGCAGAACTCTGATTTTCAGCAAGCAAGTTAGTTTCTCTTTTACTTTAGAGTTGAGCACAGAACAGAGATAAACCAAACCCAGATTCTCTCTTTACATTTCTACACTCCAAATATTTTATCCCCAGGGATAAAAATCCACAGCAAATGCCTCCTAAATTGACCATTCCTGTGTAATGTTAGAAGCACATTTCTTCTGAAATATTACTGAACAACATAGGTTTCATTCCTCAAGAATGATGCAAATTATTTGTTTTTATTGCTTTTATAGAATATGCCCAGCTCTTTGCAGCATTAATTGCAAGAACAGCTAAGGATATTGATGTTTTGATAGATTCCTTGCCAAGTGAAGAGTCCACAGCTACATTGCAGGTGAGAATTCAGCATTCATACATACACTGTGTACTGCTATATTCATTCCAGTCAGAATATCAGAAAATATTTGGGTAATACTGATAGTTTTTGTTTGGTTGCAACATAAATTCAGGCTTTTAAAAGATTGCTGGCATTTGCTATAAAGCTGATTAATTTCAGTACAGCCCATTATGACTTTACTAATACATTAGACAGTTGGACTGCCAAATGCAAATATGGAATCTATGATATAAATGTGCAAAATAGTATCAGTTTTGGTGAAATTTCACTTTTTGGTAATATTATTGCACACACTGGATACCACTTTGCAGACAATCATATATATGCACTAAATGTCACTAGATTAGATGTGATGCTACACCTTTATGCTGCAACTTTATATTATATTAAGTTTAGATTTAAAGAGCCGCTTGCACCCAAAATTTAGAATAGTGAAAATATTCATCTGGTTACTGCTAAGGAAAAGATAAAGAGGAAGTAAAGATTTTGCCAGCATCTCAGCTTTCTGCAGGACATTTTTTGGTTTTTGAAGGTGGATTGCAATATCTTGCAACATTGCTTGAATCCTGACATTTAGCTAATCTTCTGTTTTAAATCTAGAGGTAAACTTGTGAGTTTATTGCAACATTTAACTGAAAATACTTCTATTCCATCTTTCTGTGAACATTAAACTACTAATAAAACTCAAAAAATTGTAACACTAAGCAAAAAGAACAAATGAACTCCCAAGCTAATCGGCAGATATGATCCATGATTTTAATAAAACATCAATTGGATGAGTTGAGTTTAGAAACAAAAATGATTACTAACTCAAGAACTTCAGAAACCCTACAGGATGTACTTAAATATATTTTGTCTCCTTCTGAATTATATAAACACGCAAAGTGTTCAAACAAAATTACTAATACAGAAGTTTTTAAAAAACAGGACAGCCTTCAAACATTTTGTCTCATTCTTGAATTATTTATTCTCTCTATATAAAAGCAAAATACTACTCATGCATGATCACAAAATCTCCAGAACCGTAAAGGCTACAAACTTGAAATTTGGCACCTATGTTCCTCTTGGCTTCTAGAGGCTCGCTAAGAAAGGATTTTTCAAAATGACCATCAGAGCATTTAGAGTATTTCCTATACCATTATTATTAATGTGCTCTGATGCTAAGGAGTTCTAGTCCCCCTCCCCACCTGAAAAGAAATCTCTTCCAAATGCAAAACACAAGCAAAGGAGTTTCAGTTTCACAGCAGCACCAAGCAGCTTTAGTACAGAACAGTTGAGCTAAGCCATGCCCAGGCTCCTTGCTGTCTCCTTGTTCACACAGGAAATATTGTTTCACTTTCCAAATAGCCCTCAACTCTCACACACTGACAGGATGCTAGCCAGATGAATACCAATGGATGCTGGTAGGCAGAGGCAGAATTTTTTTCCCTTATTTTCCTTCCCAAAAACTAAGCCTGACCACATAGTTTCGTAGCAAAGCACAGCTATCCAGCTAGTATAAACATGACATGTTACAAAGTATTACATCATCAAAAGCTTACATGTAGGTAAAGTAGGAAGGAATAACTTTCTTTTTTTTTTCCTTTGAAAAAAAAACAAGCACTCAGTACAGTTAACAGATAACAGATAATCAGAGTTGGAAGGGACCTTGTAGGTCATCTAGTCCAACTCCCCGCCCAAGCAGGAGACCCTACACCATTTCTGACAGAGGGCAGTCCAGTCTCTTCTTGAAAATTTCCAGGGATGAAGCTCCCACAACTTCTGAAGGCAACTTCTGTTCCATGGGTTGATTGTTCTCACTGTCAGAAAGTTTCTCCTTATTTCCAGGTTAAATCTCTCCTCAGTTTCCACCCATTATTCCTTCTCTGGCCTTCAGGTGCTTTGGAAAATAGCTTGACCCCTTCCTCTCTGTGGCACCCCTCCTCAAATATTGGAAGACTGCTCTTCTGTCTCCCCTGGTCCTTCTCTTCCCTAGACTAGCCAGGCCCAGTTCCTGTAACCGTTCTTCGTATGTTTTAGCCTCCAGTCCCCTCATCATCCTGGTTGCTCTTCTCTGCACTCTTTCTAGAGTCTCAACATCTTTTTTAATAGTGTAGTGACCAAAACTGGAAGCAGTACTCCAGGTGTGGCCTTACTAAGGCTTTACAGAGTGGTATTAGTACCTCCCTTGATCTTGATTGTATCCTTCTGTTAATACAACTTAGGATTGCATTGGCTTTTTTGGCTGCTGCTACACAGTATTAAAAGTATTCACCCCAAAGTTTTGTCCCGTCCGCTTTTTGAACCCATAGGCTGCCAACTTGTATCGTTTGGAGGAAGAGAACCACGAGGCAGCTGCCCGTCTCGAAGAAGTGGTCTGTCGGGGAGATCTGCTCTTGGAAAAAATACAGAGTGCCTTAGCTGACATCGCCCAGTCCCAATTAAAGACTCGGAGTGGCACCCGTAGCCAACCTCTCCCAGAGTAACTGTGGCCTACGGCAAGGCTCGGCCATGGCATGGACTCCACAGATGTGACTTTGGTGCAAAATGAAGAAAAATGAGCATCGAGCACGACTCCTTTGGGCACCTTCATCCCTGGAAATATTGAGGAGAGTCTACTCTGCTTACCAGATGCAACACGAAGCCAGACCTTTCCTGAAAAGCCTGCAAAGATTTCTAGGAATTTTGGTTCCATGTAACCGCTACATCCAAGCCTGATATTTTGATTGGCTTTATAATGAACCTAGTCTCCTTCGAAACTCTCCTTGCGTCTTCATGCCACCAACAATACAATATTTTCTAGGCAATTTGCAAGGGGTGGACACATTTGTTTGGATGTTTGCTTCTCACTGAAAATACCTGTATATTATCCATGGAAGGGGGAGAAAAGCATTCTGGAAAACACTGAAGCAGTTGTCAATTTTGTATACAGTTTCACTTAGAAATGTAATGATTGTGTATCATGATTACTAGTATGGTCTGCTTTGGGCCTTGAGTGAAAAGGAGCTAGAGAAACAGGAGTTTTCCTGCCTTTTCCACACAGCCTATAACTGGCTAAATTCATTGACTGAAGACACTAGAAGCTGAAATCTGGAACAAACCAACTACTGTTAGAAACACTGCCTTTTGTAGTCTTGGGTTTACATGAATAAAGGTTTGGTGTTGCATTGTCTATCCACGTTTTTGAAGTTCCATTTAATACAGAGGGAAGCATAAGAGTATTTCAGTTGAATTTGGAGTTGCTATATAGACATCAGATCTTTTTCCAGGCATGTCTTATTTCTACTTGTCTGATTTATGGAAAGGAACAAATGAAAGGGTATTAAAACATCAGATGAATGGATTTGTTTTAAGGATCTACTTACCAACCAGCAGCTTAAAGAAACCACAATGAAAATACCACAGCCAGACAGGAAAAAAACCCTCAGTCCTTTAAACTGTTGATTTAATCTCTTAAAGTGTATTCATACAGAATATTGAAGAACAAACTAGCCTGTTACATTTTTGCTAATTTGTTCTGTTATTCACCTAGGTCATTAAGTATATGATTCAGGGCATTTTAGGAATTCAAATGAAAAAAATAAGGCTAAGTAAGTGAAAGCTAAATTAACCACAGCTACATAAGAAAGTGTTTTTCTACTGCTGAAAATAAAGGAAAAGAGACTTTAAAAATGAACCAGCATATATAAAAAAAAATCCTCTCTTCACTTGCTCCCTTCTTGTCTGAAGACATTTTACTCAAGGCCCCCTAGAGAATATTTATATGCTAAATGGAATTTAATCCTGCATAGGGTTGAATTAACTGAACTCTGCTCACACGATACTGAATCACAAAGTGAAATTAAAGTCTCTTAGATTTATGCAGGTTGTTTTCTTGACAACAACACAAAGAATAGAAAGGAAGTCTTTGTTGGCCAAGTGTGATTGGACACAAGGAATTTATTTTCAGTGCAGAAGCTTTCGGTGTACATTCAAGCAACCAAGTGATAAATCACGATCATAATTGTAAGATACAATCATCATAAATCATAAGATTTATTACACTCGGTAATAGCCACAAGATACTAAATCAGCAATCAATAATGGGATGCTAAATAAAAGCACTCAAATCATAAAACAACAATGTTATAGTCGTAAGGTGCTAAGGAATTAAATAATAGGAAAGATGAGAAGAAGAATATCTAGTAATACAGCCTTAGGTAGTTTGACAATGTTGTGGGAATTAGTTGTTTAGCAGAGTGATGGCCTGGGGGAAAAATTCCTTTTCTTAATTCTTTTGGCATGCTACCTATGCAATACTAGTGGGCTCTTATCCAAGTTCTAAGCAGATCTGATTCCTTTTAGCTTTTTTTAAGATGAACACCTGTATCTTAGCAGATCATACCAATCCAAGCCATGTAGTTCAATGTATTGTGCTGGCTGGGAAATGCTAGGATTTTTAAACGTCTCTTGGAGATTCTCAGTCATCCAGCTCATGGTTGTCCCAAATGTGCTTTTTTTTTTTTTTTCAAGGGGCAACTGGACTTTTTGGTTTTTCTTTGAAGTTGTTTCGCTTCTCAGCCAAGAAGCTTCTCCCGCATCCTGCAGAAAGCACAGCTCCGACTTCTCAATGACAGGAATAAGACGGGTTAATTTCACCACGGAGGTTTTGAAAAGACAAGAGTGGAACACAAATTTCCAAGAGCTGAAATCCCTTCTACCCACAGAAGTATTGGAGCAGGTCGCAGAATTTATGAAGAACTCACACAACAGAGCTGAAGAAGCTTCTCGGATGAGAAGCGAAACATCTTCAAAGAAGAACCAGAAAGTCCAGTTGCCCCTTGAAAAAAAAAAGCACCTTTGACAGTGGTGGGATTCAAACTTTTTCACTATCGGTTCTGTGAGCGTGGCTAGGTGGGCATGGCCATGTGACTGGGTGGGTGTGAGTTTGTATTTTTTTGCAGCCACAACCGCCCCACCCCCCAGATTTTTGGGCCTTCTGGGCCTCAGGCAAGCCTCCTGGGGAGGAGTTTTTTGCTCCCAGGAAGCTTCCCTGGGGCCCAGGAAGGAAAAAAATGGAGCATGGGGGGGGGGCGTGCAAGTGCTGCACCGCCCTCCCTCCATTTTTTGCCTTCCTGGGCCTCAGGGAAGCCTCCTGGGCAAAGCAGTAAGTAAGCGAGGGGAATCCCGGAACATCTGATCGTAGGAACAGCTGATTGTCAGGAGGGAAAAAAAGGAAATATCTTTAGGAGTGACTGGGCAGGGCGAGTGTCAGGCGGGCGGGGTGACCGAACAGGCAGGTGGGGCAAGCGAGAGACCGGGACATGGCCAGCCAGAAGTTACTACCGGTTCGGAGATCTACTCCAAATCCTTGCTACCAGTTCGCTCGAACTGGTGCGGATCAGCAGAATATCACCACTGATCTTTGGGACTGAAATTTTAAAATTCACCTGTGTCAAAAGTTGCCAAGTTTGAGAAACGCCAACCTAAACAAAACGTAAGTTTTCAAATTCCATCCTATTTTTGTCAAAGCGTACAAGATATACTTTTGAGTGAGGTAAGCAAGATTTGATCCCCATGAGTGAGGCTCAAGGAGTCTTCCTCTGGAGAGGTTCACCACTCCCACAGTCAACCTCATCTAGGTAGCTTCGGATCTCCTCCTCGAAATCCCGATCTACAGTAAAGTTAAATCTTCCTGCCTTTAAAAGAAAAAGAGAAATTTGTCAGGCATCGGGCATATTCGGTCGAAACATTAGTTCTAAACATGCAATGAGCAGTCACTTTTAATCCCTTCCCCTCCAATCCTGGCTAATAACAGTTTTGATTGTCATGACCAGAGTGGGATGCTACCGGTTCTCCCCAGTTCAGGCGAACCGGTATCTAATTTTATCATTTTTAATAGCTAGTTCGCTTCCCAGGAATCTCCACGTGGCCCATTTTGGATGCCATGTAAGTACAGGTCCCTCGGGGAGTGCGAAAAACAGGCCCCCTGAAGGCTCCAGAAGGCTGGAAATGGGACCCATTTCTGGCCTCCGGGCGACCTCCGGAGCCAATGGGAGGCTGTTTTTGCCCTCCCAGAGACTCGAGGGAATCCTCTGGATCATCTCTCAACTTGGTGTCCTCTTGGAATTTACTCTAGGCCCGTGATGGCAAACCTATGGCACGCGTGCCACAGGTGGCACGCAGAGCCATTTGTTCCGGCATGCGAGCTGCAGGCAAACTTACCTCACTGCACATGCGCGCACCTCACAGTTAATTTTCCGCTGGTTTGAGGCCTTTTTCAGCCTCCCAAAGGCTGAGGAAGGTTTCTGCAGGTTTTGCAAGCTGAAAACTAGCTCCGTTTTGTCACTTCCTGGTTTTCCGAAAATACCGGAAGTGGCAAAACGGGGCTAGTTTTCAGCCTGCTAAGTCTGCAGAAGCCTTTCTCAAGCCTCTGGGAGGCCGAAAAAGGCCTTAAACCAGCCGAAAATCAGCTGTGAGGTGCAGTGCAGGTAAGGGGGCGGTGGGTGGGCGGGTGGGGATTGCACTGCCTTCTGGGTGCTGGCACACGAGCGTGAATATGCAAGTGTGCACACAATTTTTGGCACAGGAGCCCAAAAATGTTCGCCACCAGTGCTTTTGGCTGAGGATGATGGGAGTTGCACCAGCACACCTGGAGAAGAACACATTGGTAGAAGCCGCTCAAAAACATCCACAGGAACAAGAAGGAAAACTTACAGGACCTGGCTGTAAATCCAGCTATGGATCACATCAAAAAGCCTTCAAGCTCATCTCAACTTTGGAAGACTTCATGGACATGGACACTGTGGGGTTGTTTTCCTGGGATGCTGAGACTTTCACATTTTCTTGCGATCTATCCTAGCACTCATTAGAATATGTCCTTAGAAAGTCTGTAGAGATTCTCTGCCCTTCAGGTCCTGGTTGTCCCAAAGGTGCTTTTTCAGGAGTCAACTGGCCTTTCTTCTTTTTTCTTTGAAGTTGTTTCGCTTCTCATTCAAGAAGCTTCTTCAGTTCTGAGAAGAAGAGAGAAGAAGAGCTGAAGAAGCTTCTTCAATGAGAAGCGAAACATCTTCAAAGAAAAAACAAGAAAGTTCAAAGAAAAAACAAGGAAGTCTTGTTTTGGGGTCAACTATGACCTGGATGACTGAGAATCTCTACAGACTTTTAGCTAAACAATTTGGGATGAACACCCTCTGAATGGTGGGGGTGTAGGAAGAGATTTCCAGGGGAAAAAAATTGCAGACTACACGAACTATTTGCACCACTCAGGTGACCCTGAAGACACAGATAAACTCTCCAAGTAACATCAAAGACTCTCTCAAAGGATGCAAATGACCAGCTGTCTGCAATGAGTATAAATCCTTCCATTCCCCATCATCCAGTCAGAGCTGAAGAAGCTTCTTGGATGAGAAGCAAAACGTCTTCAAAAGAAAAACCAAGGAAGTCCAGTTGCCTCCTGAAAAAGGTCCTTAGGTTTTGTTTTTTTTTTAATTATTTAATCAGCCAAAATCCGATGCCACTGAGTTGGAGTCGTGAATTCCTTCAGAAGCTATAAATAATCCAGATTGGAAGCCAAAGACCCCAAGAGGGCCTGCAACTCTACTGATTTATTCTTGTGTTTCTTGCAGAGAAGAAGTCCAAAACATGAAAGATCGATTTGTGGGCCTTACCTGATCAGAGAGTGCCTTGTCGTATCTCATCAAGGTGGCGAAGTGTTCACAGTTTGCCTTGGCAAGGTTGTATCTGAGGACCTTGTTCTCCATATGCCGAGCTCTTTTCACCACACAAACAGGATCCAAGGGGGGATATTTCTCATCAAATTTGTTCCACACGGCGATTTTCAGAACTCCCTGGACATCCTTGATTTTTTCTTTTCGGACCTTGAACTTAGTCCCTTCCACAGCTGGAAAAAGAGAAGTTGCGTTGATGGCCTTCAGAAATGATTTTGTTCCCATCCCTACATCGGAGACCCAAGTGTACAGGAAGTCCTTGACTTACAATCATTTGTTTAGTGACCGAAGCTACAAGTGCGCTGAAAAAAATGGCTTATGAGCAGTTTTCACACTTAGCGACATGAGTATCCCCCTGGTCATGCAATCCAAATCCAGATGCTTGGTGACTTAACTTGCATTTTTGACAGTTGCGATGTCCATGGGTCATGTGAACCCCATGTGCGGCCTTCTGACAAAGTCAATGAGGGAGCCAGACAGGAGTGGGATTGTACTGGTATAACAACTGGTTCGGTGATCGCGTGCTCTGTGAGCGCACTCTTCATTTCAAACAGCTCTAACACTTCTACAGCAGTCCCTGTGAAGAAAATAGCTGAGGCACGGCTAACCGCTCTGCCGCATGAATCAGCTGTGCTCTAAACCAGGAGTCGCCAGCCTTTTGGACCTCAGGGACCACCCTGGGAAAATCCCCCAAAAAGTCTGCAGGAAAATTCCCCACCCTGTTTTCCTCCCGATCAATTGTTCTTTATTTGGGATCGCAGGATACCGACTCCAGCTCCGTTCTCAGTGGGAGAGAGAGAGACTTTTGGCTTCATGCAAGGAAAGCAGCAGAAGCAGCAGAAGTCTTTGTTTCTCTCCCTCAAACTCTGCCAGAAATGAGTCTTTGGAGCCTCTTAGAGCAGGAGGCCTTGCAGGTTCCCAAAGACTCATTTCTGGCGGAGTTTGGGGGAGAGAAAGAAAGACTTTGGCTGCTTTCCTTGTGTGCAGCCAAAAGCAGAAGAAGAAAGAAGCGGAAAGAAGCAGCTCAGTGGCCAGGCACATTGGGTGAGTGGGGCAAGTTCTCCCCTCCTCCCTTCCCCCCCCCCACTACCTTGTGTTGTTTGCAATGCAAGCAATATAAGCCTTGTGTTCCCGCGGGCCATGTGGGTGGCACAGCCTTGTGTTCCCGCGCAGCCTGGATTAATTGCTTTGGGGATGACATTTCACTGCGGGCCACCAAAATTTTCTCACAGACCACCAGTGGTCCCCGGCCCACTGGTTTTCAACTACTGTTCTAACGAAGTAAAGGACAGGAAAGAGGAGGGGGAGCAGACGGGCTCACATGCTCGTCACTGCAAATCGGTTTTGAGACAGCTGATTTTCGGAGCAAGGGTTCATCCAAACCAGTCCGAACCAGTAGAATCCCACCCCTGAAGCCAGATTTACTTAACAACCTTGATACTAATTTAACAATGGTGGTTTATTCACTTAACAACTGTGGCAAGAAAGGTCAGAAAAATAGGGGGGAAAAACTCACGTAACAACTGTCTTGCATAGCAACATTTGTGGTTGTAACTGGAGGACTAATTCCAAACTAACTTTAGGAGCAGACCTCCTCCTCCTTAGGAGCAGACCTGTGTAGGAACACAGCGGTACTGTAATTGTAATTCCTCCTGTTCTGAATAAGGGTGGATAATTCTGCTCAAGTAAACTTTGGTCAAGTGTCAAATATGGCCAGTCCAGACAGTCCTCGACTTACAACAGTTCATTTAGTGACCGTTCAAAGTTACAACGACACCCAAAATAGGGACTTACAATCGTTTTTCAAAGTTTAAATATGACCCACTATGATCCTGTGATCAAAATTCAGAGGCTTGGCAATTGGTTCATACTTATGACGGTTGCAGTGCCCCAGAGTCACTTGATCCTCATTCGGGACCTCCTGAGAAGCAAATTCAACAGGGGAGCCTGATTCGTTTAACAATGAGGTTACTAGCTTATCAATGGCAGTGATTCGCTTAACAAACGTGGCCAGGAAAGGTTGTAAAATGGCCCAAAGCTCACTGAACAAATGCCTCGCTTAACGACAGAAATGGTGATCTCCATTGTGGTCATAAGTCGAGGACTACTGAAAAAGAATATTCTTTGGCTGATTACACTGAAAATTCAGCTTGGCAGTATGACCTCCCCAGGAACACATCCCACATTAGTTTTTTCAAATTTTTTAAAAAATGGTCCGAAATACACCAGATCATCCAATGTCACACAACACCGCCCTGTTCTTCTATTAGATCTCATGAGATCCAGTCTAAGAATGCTGGATTGTTCCGATCTTGAGAGATTTCCCCACCCCTGAATGTTTCAGGAGGTTTCATATTTCTTTCCAATGTTTGGAGGGACCTTCATCCTTTGAAAATGTTGACTACTTTTTTCAATCTACAAAATAATGGAGATGTCGCAGTGATTAAGCCCTGGGAAATAGCGACGGACCTCAAAACTCAGGAAACTTATTTGGACTGGTCACTTTATTTTCAGGTCAGCATACCTTAGATGTTCTGACCTAGGCTTCCTTAGAAAGCATAAAACACAATCTTGGGTCTGGCAAAACCTCTTTTATTTCCCACAGCTGTGAATTACGTTCATTCACAGCCTGCAAGGCTTGGCAAACAGTCTTTCAGGGGAATGCTGATAAACACCCACATTATCGCACTTGGAATGCAGCCAGAGAATGAATTGCCAAACACAGAGCAAGGCCAAACTCGACACAGAGTCAAACAAAACTTTTCAAAGCTTGGATCGACCAGATGAATTAATTGCTTCCTGGGAAAGCTCATGTCCCCTTCACTCCTCTTTTATGACCCGGGGCGGGATTCAAATTTCTTAATAAGTGGTTCTGTGGCCATATCCTAATTTGTGGGTGTGGCTTGGTGGTCACATGACTGGGTGGGCATGGCTTACTGACTGGGCGTGGCTTCATAGTCACATGACTGGCTAGGCATGGCTTGTATGTAAATATTGAATATTTTTTATTAAAAAAGAGAGCAACTTTTATCCAAAAGCAGGCAAAGCAGGCAGGCAGATTGAGTTGCTTGCAGAATCACAGACTCACTCACAGATCTACCTTTCTGCAATCTGCTGCCTAAGTCTGCACTGAAAAATAGAAGCTTCAGTCCTAAGGAAGGTTCAGCTCTGCTCTCAGGCCACTTGTCCCCCTACCTCAACCCCCTGAATACCACCCCTCACTGCACCTCAGGGAAGCTTCCTGGGCAAAGGCGAAGCAGTACAGCAGCAATTTAGATTAGCTAGAAAGCAAGAAATCCATGTGGCACAGCTGGTAGCCAGAACAGCTGATTGTCGGGGGAAAAAGGGAAAATAGCAACTTAGCAAAAATTAGGCAAAGGCACAATGCAGGAAAGTTGGATGGCGTGCATGCGAGATAAGGATGCTGAGTTGACCCTGCTTTCTCAATTGTTCTTATCTTCTGCTAGCTCTGTGCATGCGCAGGCTGGGAACCGGCTCCAGAAGCTCCTCCACTTCACTGCTGTCCAAACCCAAAGGCAGCTGCTGACTGCCAGCCTGCCAGCCTGCCCTGGCCCCATCTCTGCCTCCAATGCAGAGCCCTCCTCCGAGCCTTCCTCAGCCTCCAGGACTGGCCCAGGTTCCTCCCCAATCTCCTCGCTATTGTCCGACTCTGCTGCCAATTCTGTCAGCTGCCGGTGGGCCCTAAACAGATGTGGTTTCTCAGGTGAACCTGCCTTAAAGCCTGCCATGTAGCCCACCTTGAGTTTCCAGAGGGAAAAGTAGGACATTTCTGTAGGAAATAGATCATCAAATACTTTTCTCTTACGTGGCCAGGTGAAATGTACAACTTCCTCCTCGCCTACGTAGATACCCCAATGCTGAAATCCAAACATCTGGAATTGGATCATATCTCCAGGCTTTGGGAGGTCTTCATTCTGGAAAACGTGTTCTATGTCCTTTTTGATCCCGGTCTGTGTACAAATTCAGGGAAAGAAAGAACCCCGATTATCCAAGAAAGAAAAGGGACCAAAATGGATTCCTATAAAACAGATGGTCTTCAAACTTGACTGCTTTAAGACTTGTGGACTTCAACTCCCAGAATTCCTCCTCCAGTCATGTTGGCTCAGGAATTCTGGGAGTAGAAGTCCACAAAGTTTTAAAAGCTGTCAAGTTTGAAGACCCTTGGATTAGATAAATAGATATGAGAGAGAGAGATGAAATGAGATAGATGAATGATAGATTAGATAGATGGATGATAGATTAGATATATAGATTAGAACAATGGATGGATGGATATATGATAAATTAGACCAATAGATAGATGTATGATAGATTAGATATATAGATTAGATAGAACAATAAATGGATGGATGATAGATTAGATCAGGGATCGTCAAACTTGACAGCTTTTAAGACTTGTGGACTTCAACTTCCAGAATTCCTCCTCCAGTCATGTTAGTTCAAGAATTCTGGGAGTTGAAGTCCACAAAGTCTTAAACTTGCCAAGTTGGAAGACCCTTGCAATAAAATATCAATGGCAGATAAAGTTATCCCTATCCTAATGATCTGATCATCAAAGCATTGAAATGGAAATGGATTCCAATAAAGTATCAATGAATGTTTCAATGGCAGGTAAAGTAACCTGATTCTAAGCTCACCTGTAAGATTGATTTGTAGTTGTAGTTCAAATTGTACCCTATGCTAAGATATCATTTTCGCCTTGATTTGAAATGGACTTCAGTAAAGTATCAATAAATATTTCATTCTCAAGTTTCTTACTGAAACTTGAAAACACCAGAAAAAGCCCAAAGCTTTGAACAGGAATGAAACATAAAAAAAGACCCTTGGAAAAAAGTCATTACTAATCTCTCCTATAAGGTTAAAGGTTCCCCTCGCACATCCCTGCTAGTCATTTTCGGCTCTAGGGGGCACTGCTCATCTCTGTTTCAAAGCCGAAGAGCCAGCGCTGTCTGAAGACGTCTCCATGGTCATGTGGCCGGCATGACTAAACGCCTTCGAAGGCGCATGGAATGCTGTTACCTTCCCACCAAAGGGGTCCCTATTTTTCTACTTGCATTTTTTACATGCTTTCGAACTGCTAGATTGGCAGAAGCTGTGACAACGGGAGCTCACTCTGTTACGCAGCGCTGGGAATTCGAACTGCCAAACTGCCGACCTTTCTGATCAACAAGCTCAGCATCTTAGCCACTGAGCCACCGCGTCCTCTCCATACTCTCTCCTAAAAGTGCTGCCAAAAAACTACACAGATGTGGCTCTCCAAATCCACAGAATCTTGACACTTGAGTTTGACCCATAGGAGAACTTACCTTTTCTTCCTTTGGAATGTGAATTAAAATCAGATCAATTTTTTTTCAACCTCTGAGACACAGTAAAGGGATTTCAGAACAATTAAAATCTGGTGTGGCACACACTAATTGGTAATTGTGGGGAAAACTTTTTTGAAATGTTTGAATTGAGATGGAGTTTTGGAAATGATGAACTGTGATGAAATTGCAAACTTGACAGATAAAAGTATAAAGCACAATGAACATGAAGATATGAGAATGATCTAAAGCTAAAAGAAATAGGTTCAGAAATGAATTGAAAATATATAAAATGAGTTTGAAGAAAATACTTGAGAAAATGAATAGAAAATACGTAAAGTGATGATAAGATACGAAACTAAATGTGAAAGATGAATATGTAATCAAGGCCATGTTTATATGGAAATGTGAAAACCTGGAATCATGCTGTTCACTAAAAAAAGATGTTTTTGAAATGTGAAAAAATAAAACTTTTTTTTAAAAAAAGAACAATTAAAATCTCTCTCACATGGAGATCTCACTCACCACCAAGTTCCAAAGGCATGCCATCTCTGGATTTTGTTCCTGTTGTTTTCTCCTTCACGATATTTTGGGCTTCTACATTTCTGCCAGGAATTTCCTGTATTGTCTCTTGTTACGCACACAAAAAAGGAGAAGCAAATTTTTTACAATGGCTTTTACAAGAGCAATTGCCTAGCCCAAAGGTTCACTCACCCAAGCCCTCTCAGATCTCTCGAGAAAATCATTAAATATTGCAGATCATTAAAAAAAACCACACAATTTGTGGATCCTTTGGTTCTGTCACACACAGCCAGTCTGCCTCGGGGTTCAATTTGGTATTGAGGCTGGTATTTTGATCCTCCCTTCAAGCTCCTCATTCCTATTTACAAGACACAGTCTACAGTTGCTTTCCTGGATTTTTGTTTTCCCTTGAACATTTTGTTCACTTCCAGGTGGCCTCTGTCCTCAATTTCAAAATCTGGCAAAGCCTGAAATATCCGTTCCTCCATTTTTCAGGCCATAGGTGTCAGCATGATAAACCTTGTTTATCTGGACGCTGGAAACACCTGTGAAAATTATTGGGCTGCTTGTAACTCTTTACAAGGTGGCTCAATGGCTAAGACACTGAGCTTGTTGATCAGAAAGATCGGCAGGTCGGCGGTTTGAATCCCCAGCGCCACATAATGGAGTGAACTCCCGTTCTTAGTTCCAGTAGCTTCTGCCAACCTAGCAGTTCAAAAGCAGGTAAGAAAATGCAAGTAGAAAAATAGGGACCCCTTTGGTGTGAAGGGAACAGCATTCCATGTGCCTTCGAAGGCGTTTAGTCCTGGTGGCCACATGACCACGGAGATGTCTTCGGACAGCGCTGTTCGGCTTTGTAATGGAGATGAGCAGAGCCCCCTAGAGTCGGAAATGAGTAGCACTAGTATGTGCAAGGGGAACCTTTACCTTTACCTTTAACTGTGTTTACAGAACGCCTAGCTCAATTTTGTATCTGTTTTTCCAGGGGTTTTTTTTGGCATTGTTTTATTTATTTATTCCTTTTTTCCTGTGGTTTGTAACAGCCTTGGGATGCCCAGGTAGAAAAAATGGCTTTTAAAATGTAAGTTTAGTTTCCTTTATTGCACCTCGTACAGTGAAATCAAACTCCATCTTCAGTGCACATCATGACCATGAAAATAAACACAAACACACATCCTTCACACTCCACACATTGAATTGAAAACCCCCCGACACTGCACCAACACTGCACTATACAGTATAATTCAATAGAGTTACTGTCCTGGGATAGAAGCTGTTTTTCAGTCTATTTGTCCTTGTTTTTATCATTATCCTGTACCATGTGCCAGATGGTAATAGTTCAAACAAAGAGTGCCCAGGATGAGATGGATCTTTGAGGATGCTTTGAACTTTCTTAAGGCAGCAGGAGCTCTAAAGCTCTTCCAAAGAGGGGAGATGGCAACCAATGATCATCTGGGCAATGACATTAACCCTCTGGAGTGCTTTCCTATCTGCCACTGTGCAATTGGCAAACCGTACAGAGGTGCAGTATGTTAAAATGCTCTCTATGGTGCAGCAGTTGGTCACCAGCAGTTTTTCATTCCATTGTTGTTTTCTGAGAAGCCTCAGGTAGTATATCTGCTGTAAGTCAGGAAATGTAAAATTATAGTAAGACGGGAAATTTGGCCACAATACGAGGTTTTTCATTCCGTTGTTGTTTTCTGAGAAGCCTCAGTGCCAGCCTTCAAGATTTTCTTCCTTTGCTTTGCATCTTTCGGCTGTCATAAGTAACGGGGGGAGGAGGGGGGTAAAGTATTGCTTAGCTTTCTCTTCTCTGCGCAGCTGCAAACCTTTATCAAAGTATGCCAAGGTCAACGGACAGAAGCCTCATCACCACCTGAAAATGATGACATTCACAACTTTTAATTGGAAGAACCATTTGAACTATTGGGGGGTGGGAACATTGCCATCACTTTGTATATGTGATTTACGCGCCTATTTTCTCAGATTCAGAATTGTTTTGTTGCTACCACTTGACTTCCAGTAAAAGATATCTTTTCTCTAATTAAAAGAGTCTAAGTATTTCTTTCTTGGATTTTGAATGGAGCACCAGCTGACACTCAAGTAGGTATATCTGCTGTAAGTCAGGAAATGTAAAATTCTAGTAAGACAGGAAATTTGGCCACAATACGAGGTTGGGCAATGGGTGTTTATGATAGCTGTTCCGATGGACAGCGAAATAGGCAGTTGTGTCTTTCATACACAGCCCAACATTTATGTTGCCAAGTGAGACATTTGTTATGGGAGTTTTGCCTCATTTTACGACTTTCCCTGTCCCGTTTATTAAGTGAATCACTGCCTGTTGTTAAGTGAGTCAAACAGTTGTTGAGAGAATCTGGTTTTCCTTTGCTGGTCAGAAGGTCGCAAACGGGGATCATGAGACCTTGGGATATTGCGACCGTTGTAAGTTTGAACCAACTTGCCAAGTATCTGAATTTTGATCCCATGATCATGGGGAATGATGCAGAGGTCGTAACTGTGAAACATGGTCGTAAGTCAGATTCTTCAGTGCTGTTGAAACTTCAAACGGTCACTAAATGAACTGTTGTAATTTGAGGACTCCCTGTAAATTATTTTTTGTTATGGGACAGAAATGGCTGGCCGCGGGGTTTTTTCTTGATTGTCCAGCTTAGTGTGCAGCTTGCAAGTTTATGATTTCGGAGCTTTTTTATGTTTTATGTTTATGACTTTACGTTATGTCTTTTAATAAAAAAGCCCCATGAGACCTGAAATCCAGACCGTTTTAGAGCAGAAGTAGAATGATCCATTGCAGGAGCCTCTCAAAAAGTGGCAACCTCCAACATTGTAAAATATAATGGTCAGTTGCTTTCTTTTGGAGATTTCTTTGAAAGAAATTCTTATTCTCAAATGGGCCTCTAGAGGGTGGTTGAATTACACGTTAGGCTTCGTTGTGGAACCAGAGAAGCATGAATTTGGCTTCTTTTATAAAAAAATTTTTAGCTGCATAGGAGGATAGGATAGGGTAGGGTAGGGTAGGATAGGGTAGGGTAGGGTAGGGCAGGGCAAGGCAGGGCAGGGCAGGGCAGGGCAGGGCAGGGCAGGGCAAGATAGGACAGGACAATGAATAGAATAAGAAATAGAATAGAATATGAAGGGAAGAGTAGAGAATAAGGAATAGAAGAAGAGAAGATATGGAATGGAATGGGAATGGGAATAGGAACAGAATAAAATAGAACAGGATAGGACAGGACAGACAGGACAATAAATAGAATAAGAAAGAAGGAAATAATAGAGAATAAAGAAGAGAAGAGAAGAGAAGAGAACTGACTCTTAACTACGAGTCAGTTGCCAAGAGTCTGAATTTTGATCATAGGGATGCGACAATGGTCATAAGTGTGAAAAACAGTCATGTCCCTTTTTTCAGTGCTGTTGCAACTTCAGTCACTAAATGAACTGTTGTAAGTCAAGGACAACCTGTATCACATACAGGAATGAGGTGTTCATTCGATTCCAAATCGAATATGAACAATTCATATCCTTGTCCCCTTGGCCTTGCCTTAGGTGTAGCTCCGTGGTTTTTTTCCCCCCTTGTAATTTTTGAATTATGATTTCTAGCCTCTCGATTTTCTTAAAATGGGGAAGACAAGCCTATCCAAATATTTATCCTGAACAAATAACTCCACCAAGTTCAATGTACACTATCTAGTTTTAAGATCAGAGACACTCCCCATGGACATACAACTTACAGTGTCATGAAAGCCACAAAGAGGAAAAAGTCACATTGCTTGTCCAACCTGAAGGCCTTGGAGTGAAATTGTACGTTTGAGCTCGCCTTCCCAACTTCCTTGTATTTCTCACCAGCACGAACATCTCAGAGAAAACGTCTCCTAGACTATCATAAGAGCTCCACAGTTGTTCCCAACTTTACACTCAAGTCGCTTGATGCTCTAAATTTCAATATTTGATTGGAGAACATCTCAACTAGTTCATCAAAGGTATGCATCAGGGGGCATCTAACTTACACAAGCAAAGCTAATGGTACCTCTCTCAAAACTCTGGATCTACTGTGCCCAACACCTTTTCCCATTGAGTTGAGAACACAACTGATCATCCTAAACTTTCCACTGAGTTGAGAACATGATGGATCATCCTAAATCTTCCATTCAGTTGAGAATATGATGGATCTACTGTGCCCAACACCTTTTTCCATTGAATGGAGAACATCATGGACCACCCTAAATCTTCTATTCAGTTGAGAACACGATGGGTCATCCTAAACCTTCCACTGAGTTGAGAACATGATGGATCCCTGGCTTCCTTGGCTGTTTTTGTCCCTGCTCTGCCAACAATCTTAGTAGCTTCAAAACTGAACGTACGCCCTCGTTCATTGGAACATGACACACAGAGTAACCCAAACACAAGTTCTGCTACAGAGAAATTCCCTATGGATGGGCTTCAGCATGAATCTGAACACCCAGAAGACTAAACCTCTGGTCTCTATGACCCAGATTGGATCCTGCAATCTTTAACATCACTTGGCTCCATAAAAGAATCAAGATCTCTTGAGCTTTGATCAAACTTCATTCAAAGACAGAGGGCGGGGGGAGAGAAAGAGAGAGGGAGAGAAAGAAACAGAAAGAAGAAATTTAATGCCAAGAAATTTAATTCCTCCATTTACCAATTCACTTAAACACCAACAGGCAACCATCCCATCAGGTGACTAATATTGCACACAAATGCTATATGACTAAAATCTTGTAAGGGAGCCATAAGTACATTGCTTCAACAACAACTAATTTAAGCAGCTACAACTATCAACCCATATCAGAAGCCTAATTGTGAGAGATTGGGAAGAGGTAGGGAAAGGAATGGAAAGGAGGAATGAAACTATAAACAATCAAGAAACAGGATGAATCTGTTGGCAGCTTTTCTCATAAGTTGTTTTAACAGCAGCTAGAATTGTATTTGCCCAGAATTGGAATGGTGATAAGATACCGACAGAGGGAAAAATAAATGAAAAAATATTTGAACGTGCAGAAATGAACAGATTGACACTAAAAATAAAAGAAAAAGAAGATTCTGAATATTATATGGTATGGGATTTGTTT